CGCTGTGTCTCTTCCTCTCTCTGTCTCTCTATCTCTCTATGTCTGTGTGTCTCTTTGAAACCTTTTAAGTTACCCAATGTAAAGGCAACATGGCCCCTTAGTGCAATGCAATTCCATGAATGAAGCCTCCCATTTGAGCGAACCAGATGAGATAACATTTGCATGCCCGCAACGAAGCTTTGAATACTAAATTATAGTATTTTCTTTTAGATGGAGCTGGGAGGCAGGGGGTGATGTGACAGGGTATACCGATATACCTGGCAGTGAATGAAGCTAATGGGCTAAAAGCATTTTTAAGTCATTTAAGACTTGGATTTACAATTTAAGAGTTGATTTTGTATAGATGCAGTGTTGGGTAACGTTAAAGTCCAATTGTTTGTTGTTGCTCAGACAAATGAATGGCTAATGGAAAGTGCTTGGACTGGGGAATATTCGCTCAACAGTAATTAGCGATACTTTCAGTGTTGGTTAATCCATCTACGAAAGCAGCTGCATTTATTGGATAAGTGCATGTTATGTGTTTGCAGTGTTGTTAAATGCTGTAACAGTATTGCTAAAATGTCAATTAAAGTGGAGCTGTTTTGTTGCAGTGTTGTTTAATGATTTTTACACTAACTTTTGCATTGTACTATCGATTAGATTACTATCGAAGTGTAAGTCTAGTCTTACTGACTCATCAAGTAACGGGTGTTTGGTAATTGCGGTATGTAACTGTATTGCTACTAAGTCCATTAACTAAGCTAAGTTACATTTACAAGCTTTCAAAGTGTAATAGAATCCTTGTGATCCATTAAGATCACTGCCAGTGTTGTGAAGCTGTTCGATAAAATGCGCACAGTTTAGTTGCATTGTTCATGATGAATTTGTCCTTTTTAGTTCTTAGTTGACTTCAACTTTCTTAACGATTCCGAATTTAATTAGGAGAAGTTTTGCAACACTGCCAATGCTTTTCAATCGAAGGCATCAAGTTTTCTTAAAGTGCTGCCAAGAAAATGGGATGGGATGAGATGAATAGGGTAGAAGGGTGGCCAATTTTATGCTTGACTGCGCCTGCTGCAGCTGACCCAAACTGCTTTTCACCTCCCTCTCCCTCTCTCTCGCTCTCTATCTGTCAGTCTCTTGGCTGCTTCCTCTATGTCTCATTTATCTTATGTATCTCCGTTCTTTCATTCTCTTCTATTACTTCTAAGCCTCTTAAGCTGTTGGCAGTCTCAGCCGCAAATTTAATTTCCAGTCCAACAAAAATTTAATGGCACACAGGGTGACACACAGGATACATAGCACAAGGTGTAGCACGCACAAGCCCACACACAGCATGAAAGTTTGTTTTTAAAGTTGTTCTCTCGTCTCCGCAGTTACTCCCATCTCTATCTCTCCCTCTCTATTTCTCTTTCTCGCTTGTTGGGTAAAAGTTTGCGCGCATTTCTCTGGCGGGAAGAGTTGGCCAGGATAATAATCAGCCATGTCGGCATACAAAATGCACCTACCCAACCTAACCAACCCATCTAACTACCTAGTTGCCTGGCTGCCTGGCTGCCTAGCTACCTGGCTACCTACCTTACCAGCTGCTGTCCACGCCCCTGACTCTCTTGGGGGGTTTTCTACATTCATAACAAGGCATGTCCGTTGTCGCTTCGTAGTCCTCAACCCCGCCCGAACCGCCTTCACACACACAGAGGCCATACGTAACCGTTAAAAACTCTGCAAAAACACACAGAAAATCGATAAATTTTTGCACTTGCCAAAGAGCAGACGCCTGGGCATGGACCGTGTGAGATGGGTGGCGGGCAGGGAATTAGAGAGAGAGAGCGAGAAGGTCGGAGGGGGTTGAATGTGAGCGCTGTTGCCTCCGGCTTCTACTGCTTTTACTGCGTTGTAGCGGCATTTGCTTCAGGACAACTTAACGGTTGTTGTTGTTGCTGTTGCTGCTTCTTCCTTTTTCGCATTCGCCTCTGCACACAGTTTGGCTCGTTGTATATATATATGTGTGTGTTTTTGTGCCTGCCCTTTGGCTGCCCTCGCTGTTAGTTTTTCTTGTATGGCGACTTTTATTTTATATATGCCACTCATGCACAGACACACATGCATATATACTTGCACACACGAATATATATATACTATATATATATATATTTGTATGTATGTATGTATATAGCACATGCAATGTGGCTCACAGGCGTGGCTGTTCAATGGGCCGCATTGGGTGGCTATGCTGGCAAGGATGCTGCCCGTCCACGCACACATACATACACACACAAACATATACACAAACATATATATATAAATATATATATACATACATATACATATATATATATATATACACATATAATCATGCACATGCACATGCACAGGCACATAGCGGCACATGTGGCCTGTCTCAGTGGCGCTGCCAGCGTCGCTGCTGCTGTGCTGCTACTTTCAACAAAAATGCAAAACAAAAACACAAAACAAAACAAAACAAAAAAAGTTATTCAAGCTGCAAATTTTAATTATTTGTTGTTGCCGTTGATGTTTCTGGCGGAACTTTAAAACCCACGCAAAACAGCAGTGAAGCGAGAGAGGGAAAGAGAGCGAGAGAGAGAGAGTGCAGACTTGAAGAGCTTCAGCAGCAGAGCTTATTAAAAGCAAAGCTCTTTCGTTGTTTTTGTTTTTATTACATTAAAGTTGCATTTTCGGAAGGGAATGGAGATGGGGCAAGCGAAAATAGATTAAAATCAAACTGAGAAAACAGAGAGACAGGAGAACAAGCGATAATTGACAGTAAAAGAAAGTTCTTTTTCCATTTGTTGTTGTTGAATTTCGATAAGAGCTTTTCATGTGCTTGAAACTTAACGAAAGAAAACAAACACGTAAAAGTAATTAAAGCGAATAAATAATGTTAAAGTCCTTAAAACTAAAGACAAATTGTATGTATATATATAATGATATACAAACATTTCTAACGTCTAAGTAAAGAATAATAATTAATGAAATGGAATATTAAATGGCTAAAGGTAATTAAATATGCCTTAGAAGGAAATTCAAATGAAATTCGATAAGCTACAAGCCTGAAAATAGAATAGAATATAATAGAAAGGAATATTAAATTGCAAATGAAAAGCTATTTTATAATTAAAGCCTTATGCAATCAATAATAAACGCACACGCATACTAATTTGCTATCTCTCTCTCTTTTCCGCTCTCGTTGCAGGTAAGACATCTAAACGAAGAAAGAAACTCGATGCTTGGCAACTCGAAACTCGAATTCAAAGGAGCTCGCAAATTGGCAACTGTTGGCAACGCGGACAGTGCTGCGACGCCGTGGTGTGATGATTGAATAGGGAGGGGAGTGTGTATGTGTCTGTGTATGCGTGTATTTGTGCGAGTGGTGAGTTCTCGGGGTTGCGCGAGGTTCAATTTCGTTTGCATGCACAAATTGTATGCACATATATATGTGTGCGTGTGTGAGTGTGTATGTATTGCTGTAGGTCGATATGATTGATGAGAAATGGCAGCTCGCAGCGACGTCGTCATGTCGTTTGATTTTAAAGCTGAATGAGCCAGACGGCCACCGTCGCCGCCGCCTGGTGGTGAGCAGCATGTATGTCTTCGTTTGAATGTATGTATATGTTATGTGTGTGTGTGTGGGGGGGTGGCAGCGCAGCTTTAAAGCGAGCTGTTTCGCATGCTTCATTCTTTAAAAATAGCTATCACTGAAGTTTGGCAACGTTGCAGCTTTGCATTTCGCTGCTTTGCGCAGCGTCGCTTACGTCTGCCTTTCCCGCTCTCTTGCCCTCTGGCTCTCTCTTTCTCTCTCTGTGTGTGTGTCATTATTATTTAATGAATTAATAAGCGAGCTGTGTATGCGGGTGTCTGTTTCTCATGACTACCCCTCCCACTAACGACAGAATTTGCTTGACGTGTGTGACGTTCGTTTTGTCAGGTCAAACGCGTCGCACGTTAATCACAACTCAAACGCAACGGCTCAAGCGGCGCTGACGCAGCTGTGTTCAAAAATTTAAGTAATGACGGCTGACTCGGGGTGGATTATGGCACAGCCAGTAGCACATTTGTTTGATGTCGAGGCTTGACATGTTCGTTGTGCACATGTTGCAGCAACATGTTGTTACAGCATGCTCGACGTTGCCGCTTGGTTCACACATGTTGCTCAAGCATGTCTTAATGCCATGCTGCTTTGTCGTACTCACTCGCGCAAACACATAGCAAACGCGACGCGCACACATTTCACGAAAACGAGCAGCTCAACACTATATTTGCTCTCTCGCTCATTTCGGTCGATTCATGCGCGCTCGCTCACATTCGCAGTGTGTGCAACATGTGTGATGCGGTTGACCGGCCGGCCGGGTTTGTGTCCTCAATAAATATAAAAAGCCAACATTAAGGCGCATCACTAAATCAAAATTTTACATTCTATGCAAATTGCTCGCTGCACTCCGATTAGCGTAGATTAGTCTAAACATGCGCAATGGGGTCAAACCTGTTTAGCCACTTGATGAAGCCATCATCTTAAGCTGGCCTTCAGGCGATTACTGAATGCACCTGCTGCTCTGAAATTCTTAAGATACAGATAAAGATATATATATATATATATATATAAAAGAAACTAATCGTAAACATATTTTCATTTGCATTCATCTGATACTTTATTGCCTTTAAGTATGCTGAGTTCATTTGAACTACTTGAGTTATTCAAAGCAGTTCATTTAGTTGTGCTTCAAGAACGACTCGTTCCATTGGCTTATGAGCGAACTAGTAAATGTGCACATACAGTTAAAGCTTATAGTTCGCATGTGGAACTGGCTCATATCGATATATGCGACGTTGCAGCGATACTTATCGAGTGAGTTGGGCAGATACAATGAATGGATTAATGAATGAGCAGTGAATCAATCTGAGTTATATAGTCTGCCAAACATCTATATATATATATATATATCTATCGTAAGTCTTTATCCTACACACAAATCTAATAATCTGTTGTTCTTTCTCCCCCACTGGTCGTTCAGGACAATGGAACAGTCGCAGTATGTCAAGAGCCTCGGACACTTGCAATCCCATCAGCAGCAGCAGCAGCAGCAGCAGCAACAGCAGCAGCAACAGCAGCAACAACAACAGCAACAAATGCATCACCACCACCACCAGCAACATCAGCAGCAGCAACAGCAACAGCAACAGCAGCAACAGCAACAGCAGCAGCAGCAATCGTCGAGGTCGGCAGCTAGTCCGCTGTCGCCGCCGCGTCCTGGACCGGGCAGCGCGGCGGCCGCAGCTGCGGCGAATAGCTATGCCAAGTTTGCGGATGCGCCGCAACATTTTATACAGCCACCGGCGTACAGCATTGGGATTGCGCCGGTGGCCAACTATCATCGGGAGAGTCCATATATGCGGATACCTCAGCTGCAGGCATCGGTGCCGGAGTTTCAGCGTGCGGCGCGTGCAGCGACGGTGGCCGCTGCCGCTGCTGCCGTTGGCGGTGGCAAAAGCGGACCGGGCAACAGCAGCGGCAGCAACATTGGCGTCGTCTCCTCGGCGGCTGGCCCAGGCAGTGGCAGCGGCGGCGGCGTCGTCCAAGTGGCCGGCAGCATGGCCCCGCCGGGCGCCCAGCCGGGCGGCGTGCTTGTCATGGAGGCCATGTCGCATTACCAATCGTTGCACTACAACAACGAATACCTGACCAATGCCGCAGCCCTGGCAGCGGCTGGCCAGCGCCAGCAGCAGCAGCAGCAGCAGCAGCAGCAACAGCAACAGCAACAGCAGCAACATCCGTCGCTGTCTGAACCGCCGGGCAGCGTGGGTCAGCCGTATAAGAAGCAGCGCTTGAGCGATGCCAATGTCAGCAACATGAATCACCTGCCACACCAGCAACAGCAGCAGCAGCAACAGCAACAGCAGCAGCAACGCTCTTCGCCCGCTCAGCAACACAACAGTCGGCAGAGCAATCATGAGGCGGAGCAGTCGCGGCGCGTGTTGCACATGTCCGCTGGCTCGGTGCTGACGCCGCTGGGCATGCAGCAGCTCAAGGTAGAAACGCTGCCACAGCAACAACAGCAGCAGCAGCAACAGCAGCAGCAGCAGCAGCAGCAACAGCAACAGCTGGCGTCGCAGGTGCATGCAGCACGTGGCTTGGTGCCGCCGCCAACGGCGTCAGCAGCCAATGCGCAGCTGATCAGCTTCTCCACGAGCAGCAGCAACAATGGCAGCAGTAGCAGCAGTGCCCAGGCCGCAGTGGCAGCAGCAGCGGCGGCAGCAGCAGCAGCTGCGGCAGCAAGCAGCACAGAAGCATACCATCCACAGGTGAAGAGTTGCTGAGACTAAAGCACGTGAATGACATTAGCCGAACTATGGATTAATCGCAGACTAAGACTGATCGCCAAAGATCTATGGTTAGGCAACCAGAGGAGCTATCTGTAGCCCAGAAGATGTACCCAAATGAAGTATCTTATCATTTTAAGCAACTTTGTATTCCATATAAAGTATATTCAAATCCTAGAGAACATAAAATATAAGCTTTCCATGTGCTTTTGCATATTAAACTTTGTAACAAGTCGAGCTTTAGGCTTGCTCTTAATTCTATAAGAAGATGTAGCCATATAGAGTCGGATTGGAGAAGCTATAGCCATATTGAGTGTCTTAAAATATCAGTATAATGATGGCTCTTGCTTGATAGAAGCTTTAATGTGCTTGAGCTGAGCAGTTGTGGCACGAATGTGACTCAAAGCTCAGCTCAGCTCAGCTCAGCTCAGGCTGTGAAGACTTGAATAGAGACCAGAATTCTGGCCAGAGACTAGAGTTAGCTGTAGATAAACTGTCTGATTAATCGCATCTCGTGCAGCTAATGTCATTGCACAACAATTTTCTGACGTGTTTCCTTTATTAATCTCTCGCTCTTCGGCAGGTGGAGGCGATTTCACCAACGCTGCCTAGCGACAATGCAGAGGAGCGTGGACGCAGCACAGGCGCCAGCAGCAGCAGCAGCAGCAACAACAACATAAGCAGCAGCAACAGCGGCAGCAGCGGCAACATCAGCAGCAGCAGCGGCAACATCAGCAGCAGCAGCAGTAGCAGCAGCAGCAACAACAGCGCCAAGGAGGATCTCCTTATGCAGATCCAGCGCGTTGACAATGAAATCAAATGCGCCGAGACGGCCATGGAAACGCTGCGCAAGAAGGAGAAGACGCTGCTGGACGAGGCGGCGACGACGGCGGCCACAGTCAAGCAGCAGAAGGCAGCCGCCGATCAGGCGGCAGCTGAAAGCGGCAATGGCCGCTACATGGAGCTGGGCTGGCGCGCCCAGATGCTGGCCCAGAGCGTTTACGAGGCGAACCGCAAAACGGCCGCCGCACAACATTCCCTGGTGAGTGAGGCGGGCGGCACGAAGGGCCAGTCACGCCCCTGGCTGCCGCTCTACAATCAGCCGCTCGACGTGGAGACCCTGTCGCAGCTGATAAAGCGCCATCAGACACTGGTGCGGGCGCCGCTGCTCGTGCACATACGCAAGCTGAAGGCCGATCGCTGGGAGTACAATCAGGGCTTGGTGGAGAAATATACGAAGGACCAGGCCGATTGGCAGCGACGCTGCGAGCGGGCCGAGGGCAGCGCCAAGCGCAAGGCGCGCGAGGCCAAGAATCGCGAATTCTTCGAGAAGGTCTTCACGGAGCTGCGCAAGCAGCGCGAGGATAAGGAGCGCTTCAATCGCGTCGGCTCGCGCATCAAATCCGAGGCAGATCTCGAGGAGATCATGGACGGACTGCAGGAGCAGGCATTGGAGGACAAGAAGATGCGCTCCTATGCCGTCATTCCGCCGCTAATGCACGACGCCCGCCAGCGCCGCTGCGCCTACCACAACGAGAACGGCCGCATCGAGAACATGATTGTCGTCCATGAGGAGCGCAAGGCACTGAATCTGTGGACGGCCGGCGAAAAGGAGACGTTCAAAGAGAAATATTTACAGCATCCGAAGAACTTTGGCGCTATCGCCGCTAGCCTGGATCGCAAATCGCCGCAGGATTGCGTACGCTATTACTACCTCAGCAAGAAGACGGAGAACTACAAGCAGCTGCTACGCAAATCCCGCCAACGCACACGCAGCAGCCGAAATCCGGCCAAAGCCCAAGCCCAGCTGCCGCAGTGCATCATCGACTCGCTGACGACGGGCGTCACGACACGTCTGCAGCGCGAACAGCAGCAGAAGTCCGGCAATCGCTCCAGCGCCGTTGCCGAGCGCGAGCGCGCCGAGCGAGCCGCCGAGAGGGAGCGCGTCGCCGAGAAGGCAGCCGCCGATGCCGCCAAGGCGGCGGAGTGTGCCGCCGAGAAGGCGAGCGCAGTCAGCAAAGCTGCCGAGGCGGCTGCCGGCAGCGAGAAGGTGGCCAAAAGCGCCAGCATTGCAGCTGCAGCCGCAGCAGCAGCAGCAGCAGCAGCGACAGCGACGCCTTCGTCGTCCTCGTCCTCGTCCTCGTCGTCGTCGTCGTCGTCGTCGTCGGCAACTGCAGCAGCTGCGGACAAAACTGATGCTGCCAAGGCGCATGCTGGAGCGAACAAGAATGCAACAGCTGCCGCAGCAGCAGCAGCAGCTAAAACTGAGATCTCAACGGGCAGCAGCAGCGACGCCAAAGCCAAAACCGCTGAGGAGGAAGCGCCAGCAACAGCAGCGACTGGAGGAGTCCCGGCAACAGCAGCCACAACCAATGCATCAGCGACTGTTGCTGCCGAAGCAGCTGCCGCCACTGTTGCTGCAGCTGCTGTGCCCACGTCCAAAGCATCCAAGTCGCAGCCAGGCGATGCCAAGGCAGCCAACGCCGCCAAAGCTGCGGAGCAGGCGGCCGAAACGGACGAGCAGCAGGTCGCCAAGAGCAAAGCAACGGCTGCCGATGGCTACAGTGGTAAGTGGCAGTGGCAGTGGCAGTGGCAGTGGCAGTGGAAGACCCTGCTAGACAGACGTGGCAAGTTCACTAATTTCGTTCGTTTTCTTTTGCAGCAACTGGCGCCAATGCAACGTCTGCGGCAACGCCTGCGGCTAGCGTTGCCATCAATGGCTTTAAGCCTGGCTATCAGAGCGTCGTCATGGCCAACGTTAAGGCGGGCGCGCCCACATCTGGCGTCGATGATGCTGCAACAGGAGCTGCTGCAGCGGCAGCAGCTGCAACGTCGACAAATGCAACTGGCGATAAAATCGTGAAGACGACGTCGACTGCAGCTGGCTTCGCCGTGCCCAATGCAGCAGCCGCAGCGACAGAGCCGGCGAGCGGTGTGGCAACGCTTACGACGGCCACGACCGCTGGCAACTATTTGGGCCAGAAGCTGAAGGCGGCGCAAGTGGAGGGACTTGGGGCCGGCAATGATCTGCATGCGGATGTTAGGTAAGTTATCGATCGATAAACAAAAAGCAATCGATAAGTTAGAAGAAAGTTATGATATCGATATAAACAACTTTGATGGCATAGTTATCGATAAGAGAGTGATAGTGGTCGATGACTGTAGCTTATAAATCGAAAATAGTTAGATATAGTAATGTTATCGATAACATTGATACAATACTTATCGACAGTAGAGTGTTAGCTGCCGATAAATGGCTGGACAAGCGGCTATCAGTGGACGATAAGTTAAGTGATAGCACATGAATCGAAAGAGAAAGAAAAGTTATCGATACTGATAAATGACACTGATCGACTGTGAGAGACAGAGAGAGATGTATCGATGACTCCATATATCGATAGGTTAAACATGAAGCATTGAACTCGATCAGAAATTCCGATAGCTATGCTAGAAATATATCGATAATTGAGCTATCGACAGCATTTCTAATTTCTTGATCGATTTTTGACTAATTTCGCTTCATTATTTCTTACAGCGATGCCAAGAAAAAACGCTTCGAGCTGGCGCCTGACTCAAACGTCGGCGGCAACAACAACAACAATAACAACAACAGTAGCAACAACAACAACAGCAGCAACATCAAAGTGAACGATGCGTCCACCCAAATCTCGTCCATTGGCAAAGGCGCAGGCAGCGGCGCCGGCTCCGCCTTAACGCCCGCCTCCTCGTCCTCATCCTCGTCCTCCTCGTCGTCCTCCTCCTCATCGGTGATGTTCATTAGCGCCGCGTCGCTGATATCGACAGCATCGTCGCCGTTGACGACGGCAACAGGAACCGGAACAGGCACCAGGTCGACGACAACGTCATCCACGATGGTCACAGATCGAGCGGGAAATTTGCTGAACACCTCCGAGGTGCTGGCATTGGATGCCAAAGGTAAGTGCCACAAGTCTATATATATATAAAAGCTCTGACGACTCTGGAAAATTCCCCATGACCTAAACTGCAAAAGCTCAGGTTTCTTTTGCCAAAGCGCTTTTCATTCAAAGCTCTCTCAGCTTATATAGAAAGCTTTCCTAGTCCGATAAGCTCAATTGCAAGGACCGCCTAAGCTGGAAGCTACTTCAAGCTGCATAAGCTTTCTACATTTACTCAAACATTTATAGCTTTTGTTGCTCTATGAAAGCTTTCTGTTGACAACTTTTGTCATTTATCTGAATAGTTGTCAGCTCGACTTCAGTCAAGCTATGTAAAGTTTTTTTTGTAGAGCTTTAAAGTGTTTTGGATAAAGCTGAAAGCTTAAAGCTTCAAAGCACAAAGTTGTTACATGTTCTCATTCAGCTTTTGCCTCAGGCTTGACTAAGCTTTTGCTGTTGTCCTTTAAGCTTTTGAGCTGTTCAGAGCTTTTAGAGCTTTCCTCGTTATGGCAATTGAACTGCTAAACTTTCATTCGTCCTCTGTGGCTTATCAAAAATGCATTTCGCGTTGCCTTCCCTTTGTGTTGAATATGCATGTGGAGTGCTTACCCCAGCAGCCCTTGCCCCTTTCGTACCGCCTCCTGGTGCGCCTGCTGCACGGCTCTCTTCTGTTTGAGCTCCTTCGAGTGTCCCCGTTGAATAGTTGATGCAGCTGCATACGCCTCAAGTCCAGCTGCAGCTGAGCTGGGCTCAGTTTGTGGATGCTTTATTGGTGGCTGTCACGTTTTCGCCTTAGCCCAACTGGGTGGTTCGTGGCGTGGGTTGCTTGAGTGGTTGGGTCTCTCTCTGCTCCCCTCTGCAGCTGTCCGTCTGTCATTCAGCTCAGCGCACGGCGGTTTGTTTGCAGCTACAGCTCGACCGCTTCCCCATCTTCTGCTGCAGTCTCTTTCTCCATCCTCTCGCTGTGTGCTCTCTCTCTGTCTCTCTCCCTGTCTCGCTCTTTCTTTCGTTGTCTACACGCTCTCCCCACGTCAACGTTTGTTGTCTGTCATCTCCCTGGCGAGTTAATTAAACGCAATTAAATTAAAATTTTTGTAAACGTCTTTTTTATTATGCAAGTGATTTAATTTAATTATTAAATTGCCGCAACGTTTGTTTGCATTAACCGACGCCATCTTTGCCACAAAAGAGCGAGAAGCGAGAAGCGAGAAGCATGAGGCATGGGGCAAGCAGAAGGGTTGGGTCATGGCTGAGGGTGGTGGCAGTCAGAGGAAGGCGAAGCTTCTGAGCTGTCCAGCCAGAGACGAATGTGATTAACCAAACCATAAGTGTTATCGATAAGTGTTATCGGTATATATACACATGTATCTCAGTCTGTTTTGATAACAATTCCATTAGTTGGTTGGGCTTATATGAAATCACAAATGTTGATTTATCGATAGTTGCATTTATCGATAACAATAACTCTCTATTCAACCATATTCACGATTTTGATTGTTTGATCATTGAGTATAAGTATATTGAGTATATCGATGAATGTTATCGATAGCAATGTTAATTGCTTAGTGACATTGTTGACTGTGCATATTTATGAGCTGCACTTGTATTGGTAATCGAAAGGGATTCATCGATAAGTCATCATTTATCGATAAAATTGCAAATTTTCACAATTTTTATCATTAACTTTTATTTATTCGAACTTTAGAGCAATTCACAAAAAAAAAAGTCACGTGCGAGTGTGTATATGTGTGTGTGTGCTAAATTCGATAATTAATCGATGTTCGATTAGTTTAGATTAGTTCGTTGCCTCCAAAGAGCCGGCAACTGTTGCAGCTAGGCGTTTGGTGTTGCCGCTGCCGCTGCTGTTGCTGCTGTTGCTGCTGCTGTTGCTGGTGTTGCTGCTGGCCAAGTTATTGTTGTTGCTGCTGCTGCTGTTGTTGTTATTGTTGTTGCTGTTGCTGTTGCTGTTGGTGTTGTCCAGCTCATCGGCATGGCACAACTTGCGATGCTTGTGCACAAAATAGTAGCTTGGGAATTTGCTGCCGCACGTTTTGCACGGATAATACTGAACGTTCATATCCAAAGGTCGAACCTCGCGACGCAGCAGAGCAGCTGCAGCCGAATTGCCATCAGCAACTGTTGCTGCTGCAGCTGTAGCTGTTGGTGCGGCTGCTGCTGCTGCTGCTGTTGCAGTTGTTGCTGCTGTCGTCAAGCAAAGCAACTCGCTGCTGTTGCCGCCGTCCGGCGCCTCGGCCAGCTTCTTGTCCAAGCTGAGCGGATTCAAGTGCCGCTTGGCATGCTTCTGGTAGCAATATTGCGACTTGAATGTGTGTTTGCAGTAGACGCAGACGAACAGCTCCGCATGCGATTGTTTGCGCTGACTAGTTGCAGCAGTTGCAGTTGCAGTTGCAGTTGCTGTTGTTGTTGTTGATGTTGCAGTTGCTGTTGCTGCTGTTGCTGTTGCATCGCTGCTGTTCTCGTTCTCCTCCTGCTGCTGTTGTCGCTGCTGGCTGCTGATGGCGCGCGCCATCTGCTGATGAAAGGAGTAGCTGACGCTCTGCTGCGTGCGTTGCTGTTCGGCAACCTCAAAGCTGGAGTCCGGCTTGTGGCCGTACGCCGTGTTCAAGATGCGGCGGAAGCGCACGGGTCCATCGCAGCTGGCCACATCAATGATGAACTTTGACGCCTGTGTCGCTGTCTCCAGCTGCACGGCCGCAGCAGGCAAAGCTGGCTTGGCCAACGGCAACCGATTGCTGTTGTTGCTGTTGTTGCTGCTGCTGCTGTGGTTGTTGCGTTTGCTTAGACTTTTGCGTGCATTGTTGCCGCCGCGTCGCAGCTTGTGTGCGCCTGTTGTAGCAGCAATTGTTGCTGCTGCTGCTGCTGCTGCTGCTGCTGTTGTTGTTGTCGGCGGCGGTGGCGTTGGCGTTGGCGTTGGTCTTGGCGTTGCCTGCTTCGATCTGGTATCGACGCGCTCTATGTTGAGGCTGCTGGCTGCGCTGCTGCTGGCCAAGCTGCTCACCACCGACACGTTGCAGTCTTCCGTGTCCAGCTCATTGTCCGTGGCCGTGTTGCTGTCGATGAACACCTCGATGTCTTCGTCCTCCTCCTCATCGGGCTGGTGCATGGCCAAGGGCTGCAGCTGTTCCACTTCCACTGGCTGTTGCAAGTAGCTGGCCGTGGCAGCAATTGTTGGCGCTGGCGCTGGCGGCGGCGGTGGCGGTGGCAGCGCTGGCGCCGGCAAGAAGCCAAAGTTGGGCAGCGTCGCTTTGCTGGCAATGGGTCGTATGATCTTGGAGGCGCCACCAACACCACCAACACCCCCAACACCACCAGCAGAGGCAACAGCCAGCTGCAGCTGATGCGGAGTCGCAGGGCTGCCGCTCAAATAGCCCTCAGTTTGCGCGCGTGCCAAGAACGAGCTGAGTGCAACGAATACAAAATAAATAAGCAAAGTAAAGGGAATCGAATGCCTACCGACAGATCTCCAGAGCGCGCGGCATGTGCAGCACGTGCGTTGCCAGCAACACGGCAAATATGTTGTCCACATTCAGATCCAAGTAGCCCGTGTACATGTAGGTGAGCAGCGGGGCGAACTGTTCGGCTGTTACGTTGCTCAAGTACAGCAGCAGCTCCCCGCCAGCAGCGGCAGCGGCCACAGCAGCGGCTGCTGCTGCCGCCGCGGCAGCAACAGTTGCTGTCGTATTGGCAGTGGCCGTTGCTGCTGCTGCGGCAGCTGCTGCCGCCGCCGTTGCCGTCGCCTCATCCATGCGTATGGCCGAGCGCAAGTAGCCGCTGTGCATGCCCAGGACCAGGGCGTGCGCCACAAAGCGCACGCTGCCTGGCGCTGGTCCCACTTCTAAAATAACATCCGGCGGTGTGGACATAACGCCGCCAACACCAACCACAGACATGTTGCTGCTGGCCGTGGCCGACAGGCGATTGTTGCCATTGCCGTTGCCGTTGCCATTGCCACTGCTGCCGCCGCTGCTGCTGCTGCCAGTTAACCAATTTGTAAACATGAAAAAAAAATATTGAAAAAAAATGAAGCAACAACAACAAGCGCGAAATGCGACGTGTTCGAAGAGTTCGTGTTGTTGTTGCTGTTGTTGCTGTTGCTGTTGGTTTGTGCTTAAAAAAAAGGAGCTGCGATCCGTCACGTGTGCAGCACAAATGCGAACTGATGAATGCCTCGTGTTGCATGGCGTGTTTTATAGCCAACTCGAGAAAGCAGTCAGCCACACACACACACACACACACACAGACACAGCTATCTGTGCTAGCGCTGTCAGCTGTGTGAGTCCTTCGGCTGCTGCGTTGCTCGGCTTTGGCTCTCGACTTCGGCTGTTTGTTGAGTTGTTGTTGTTGCTGCTGCTGCTGCTGCTGCTGCTAGCGCTTTGTTTGTTGTCGGCTAGGTCTGTTTAATTGGTTGTTGCTGTTGCTGTTGCTGTTGCAGCACATTTTACAAATTCATAGCCAGAACTAATGTGTTGCCTCCTTTGTGGCAACTGTAAAACTGATAATGCAACTCTTTGATATGATTAGAGGAGGTTAACTAGTGGTTGTTGCTGCAACAAATAGAAATGAGCAAAGACCAACAAATATGAATGCCTTAAGACATTTCAATCCATCCAAAGGCGCCAAGGAAAAAACTGTTGCCTACTTTTGAGCGCTGCCCCAAAGAGGCATGTTGCACCTGTGCAAATGGCATGGCATTTAATTTATTTGCAATAATAAATATTGTTAATTCACATGTCTTACTAATACAAGTCCACAGAGCATATTTCGTAGTCTCTGCTGCTTAAGCATGTTCCGTTTGCTGGCTTTGCCAGTCTTGCCACATTTCAGTGGGTCACAGCGAGAGAAATTCCCTTTTTATAACTAAAAATAGTTTCACAATGTTAGATCTTCACTGCTTAGTCTCATTGATTTAGTTGCCTGGCTTAAAGTATCTTAACTATTCTCAGCCAAGCTTAAAGGAAAAACCCATATAAATATTTCTCTATAAATTTGATCTGTTCT